CCCCAAAACCCCAAAACCCCAAAACCCCAAAACCCCTTTAATACAAAATTAGCTTGAAAAATTAATATTTTATTTGTAATTTTAGGAAAATTACTTTGTGCTCTTTATTTTTGAGAAATAAAGTACTTTGTAGCAGCCTTGGCGGTAGTGGCTTCGCTACCCTTGCTGCTCTGAAGGTTCTGTAGCCTTCCGATTTTAGATGTAGGGTTAAGTCTAGTTAGACAGGCTGAGCTCATATGAGACTTCTGAGAGTCTTGGCTAGAGCAGAATAGAACTCCAGCATAAGGGGTGTGGATAAAATTGTTCCTCTCGTTTATTGTAATCTCGTTTCTAACGAAAGAGGCAAATTCACAATTGTAAATCCCTGAGATAAAGGTGTGGTTGTACTTTCCATTAATCTCGTCCTTTAGTTTCATGAATGCTATATATAAATGGTGCTGACTTACTTCTGGGGTTCAAGTACAATGAGTCTCTAATCCTTTCATCAATAAATTGTTCGTTCCAATTAATAGAGCTATTTTCCTTCGTGTATCCTTCTCCCTCAAGGCTATTCCCTGGGTAATAGATGAGCGTCTGGGGAGGAATCGCATGTTTAGATGATAGATAAGGCAACAAGTTAAACGGGTTATGGAATGTACCATTCGAATCAGACATTATTGATGAAGTGATATACTTTGACCCAAGGTTCAACTTCTGAAATACAAATGATGACTGAAGATTCTCGAAGTATCTATATCCTCCTCTTTTAGCAAAAGATTGTCTTGAATCTTCTTTAGTCAAGTTCTGAGAGTTCAAGTCATTGCTTTTATTGAACCCAAAGCCAGGATTAGTGACTTCTTTCTCAATAGGCTCAGTTGGGTTGAGATCCTCTCCTTCAAACTCTGCTGTCTTTTTCTTTTCTTCATGGTTATCAATTGTAATTGATCACATAGATGGGCTTTTCATAAGCTGGCTTCCTTCATTTGTGATCTTCCAATCGTACTTGTTTGAATAATAAGAGTTGTCAGGATTTCTCTTTTGCGATATCTTTGAGTTATTCACCAGCCTGAAGTTGCTATCCTGCCCGTACTGAATAGAGTCCTCATCATTATCCATTCTGTCCTTAAGTTGGAGGATATAGGAAGGAATCTCAGATGAGTAGCTCCTGAGTAATCTTGTATTGGGACTCATGCTTGAAGACCTAGTGAACTTATTGTTCATCTCTATAGCATGCAGATTTACAGGTCTGTTGAAAATGCAGTTATCTCCTGGACTAAGTTCCTTTTCTCAGTTTTTGCCCAAAGCACCTTGATCTTTCGATTGGAAGAAGTTGTATTCGTCGTTAGGTTCAGTTCTAAAGATTAGTTTGGCTCAATTACTCAAAATTTGACTTAAAAATACTAGCCGAGTCATCCTGCTTTTTCTTATTTTGATCATCATCAATATTTTCTCGATATGGAGTTAAGTTAGAAGAGCCTCGGAAGCTGGTTGTGTCATTCTCAATATCTTCTTCATCCTCTTCGTTGATCATCTCTTGAGGATTTCTGATATTCAACTGATCACCGCTGTTATTCCCACTACTAGAGATGTTAGACTTTCGCTTGTTCCTGAAAGTCTCAATCACACTATTACTGTTACTAAATTCACTATGATTTTCTTTGATAACTTCTAGATCTCTGCCGATGTTCTTACCCCCGTTTACATCAGTTGGATCATTATGGCTCGGCCTACAGTAAGGATTGTCTGAGTTCCTATTCCTTGAATGTTTTGGAGGCAACAAGCTTCTACTCACTGGCAAGACACCATCTTTAATCTCAGCATTAACCTGATAATTTTTATTTCCTTCCTTCTGGCTCTTAAGCTTAGCAGATTCTTGACTAGCCTTCTCTTGTAGGGGTCTTGAGTGAACATTGATCTTTTTGAATTGGATTTTATTTTCACCTTGGCCGGTGATTTCAACGAAGGCCTCGTCTTTGTCATCATGACTTCTTTCAGAGTTCATTCTGCTGCCTTCTGTATATCTCTCCCTATGTGAGATGGACTTTTCGTTTGAGTTTACATAATTACTATGAGTATAATTTTCAGAACTAGTAGCATTGCTTCCTCCAATCTTGCTATCAGGATCTCTGTTGAACAAATGAGAATCAACAGAAATTTGTGAGTTATTATCATCTTCAAAAGTATGTTGGAGCACAGTTTTCTCTCCTACAGCTCCAAGGTGGTTCTCTTTACTGTTCAGAAATTCATTTCTAGGGGTAGTAATCGACAATTCCTTCCTCTCTTCACTATCATGATCATGAACCTTGATCATATCCTGATCACAAGGGTCTAAAATCATACATTCATCATTTCCAACAGATTTTTCGGGTGAATGAATGACTTGTGAAACATTGTCACCAGATCCATCCTGGTTAAGTTCTTTATTACATTCCATTTTCAACTCCCTTTTGAGTTCCATCTTGATAATCTGCTTGATAGCTACCTTGTCGAGGCTGTCTTCACAGTTCTCAATCATCTGGTATTTCTCAGGGAAGAAATCCTGGATTTCCACTGTGTTTATCTCTATTTGATCACTAATATCATCAAGTTCATCAATCCATTCTGCACTTTTCTGACTTGAGAGGTCTTGGACTGGGCCTCCAGAGGCTCTAAAAGGTTCTATTATTTTTATCTCTTCTTTATTCGGAGGTGGTTGATCATCTAGATCGTCTTTCCAGCCCCCTAAAGAGTGTGATTTATTCAATGAAGACTCTGAGATCTCTCCATGTCTATATATTATTTCAGTCATCTTACCTTCTTTCATTTTTACCAATCTTTTTCTTGATTCTTTTCTTTTTCTGATTTTTCTTCTGCTTGGCCTATGGGGTTAATTCCTTAAAAGTTACAATCGAGAGTACATTGGCCACAAGAGAGTCAAACTCAGGGTCAATTTCTGCTGGGTCATCCACTTTGGCCAGCTTTTTATTAATCTCTTTGACTTTTTGTTCCATATTGCTTAAAACTTTATTAAAGTCCTGGTGATCTTTGCCAAATTCTCTCATGTTCTCATTAAATAGGACTTTTAAGTCTTGGACCATTTTGTGGGAGTCTTCTTCAAATTTGAGGTTCTTAATTTTAAGGCTCTTAATCTCCCTCTGATTCTGCTTCAGCTGCTCATCAAATTTCTCCCAGAGGTTCTAAAGATAAGCAACATGTGGGTTACTCTTAGCTCTTGGCTTGCCTTGGTCTGTTGGGATCTTACGTATGAAAATGTTTTATCTGAAAACTCTGAGAATCTCTGTTCAATTTTGAGCAGAAAATCTTCAAGATTAGTCCACTTCTTGTAGTGTATCCATACTTGCGGCTCTTCTCCCCAAGATTCCTAGAATTTTGGTTCAGAAATGACTTACAAGTTGTTTACGAGGATATTTCTGGAAAAAGAGAATGATCTCTTGTAGCATTGTGCCTATTTTCTCTCTTTCGTGTTCCAGAGTGGTATATGAAGGCCTATGGGATCTCTTGCTGTCACATGGTTGATACTTGCTGGAAATTCCTCCTGGGGAAGCTTTAGCCCTCTTACTAGAGATCTGACGGTCCATCATAAACTGGTCTTCAAATTGACGATTCATCATATGAGCACTTCTTTTCCCGGACAAATAGTTATTATCTTGAGGAGTAATCACTCTTTTAGGAGTCTCTTGGCGATTGGTGTGGTGTGATTTCCGATTGTCTCCAACTATACTCAGCTTTTTCTGAGAGTAGACTTTGTATTGATTCTTATCATTTCTTGGCTCTTTCGATTTCTTTAACTTAAGACTATGAAAAATGAAAAATTAGCTTTAAGAGAAATTACACTCAAGGAAGGAAACTGAACAAATTTCAACAACAAATAGATAGAAATCAGTGGATTTTTGATGACTAGGTTAAAATAGAGGCCTACTTTACTTTCCTCCCACTCATTTTTTAAATTATAATTCCAATTTTAAATAAACCTAAAGGGGTTTTGGGGTTTTGGGGTTTTGGGGTTTTGGGGTTTTGGGG